TTAACAATCACAGTACAATCCATAAAGATAATCCAAGTGTAGGCTTTATCGGGCAACTGATATCAATTCAATTTTGCAGTTCTTAGGAGCTCAAATGTCATGCGCTCTTCTTGTTCTGTGGTCCCTCGTAAAGACAGAACACGTCGCCGGGTTTGGGACAATTGCTCGCCCCCCTTTCCAAAGGGCTAAACTCAGTTAGACGGTCTCTCGCGTTTTGGAATATTCAGCCACAGTTTCTCCTTTGGTTTCTGTTTCCTCGTTTGGAAACGGTTACCCAGTCAGTCTTCCTGGATAACTAAGATTCGGATTCGTCTTTCCTCCATTCAAAATCCTCTTGCTCTTTGCTTTCCAACCCTAAAATCAATGGCCTCCCTCCCCTCTCCTCTTCGGAGTCCCCAACGGTGCTCCGCCTACCCGGCCCCCTCCTCTCTCTCGACTCCCCCTCCCCCTGGTTCTGTTCATTCTGTTCCCATACTCTCACCTCTACTTTCTCTCGTAGACGAGACGAGGGCAGGGCCATGGTGTAATCCTCGTGCCCCGTTCACGTCTTTACGAAGGACAATCACAGAACTGCGTAATTCTCCCCAAACCGTCTGTTTCATACAAAGCTGACTCTGACCCGTGGATGCTCCCTCAATTTAACAAACCTAACAGATGCAGGCCTATTCCATGTATGCTGGGCCCCAGAATCAGGCCGACCCAAATAATGGCTACAATTATGAATTAATTCCAACTTCCAAGGTTGAATTTAACGGATTTTTGATATTTATTTGGCTGGACAGTGATAGGGCTCGTTAACAGCCCCAGTGAACGTGGCCCTGAGCATGCGCAGCAGTTCGTGGAATGCAATTTCTCGTGTGTCAGTTGTAATACAAGACTTGTGACACATTGCCAAACACAACATAAACACACTTTACCCTGATATGCATTGACTGCTCAACTGGAAAGTGCATTAGGCTTACTCAACATAAACCTACCACCAGTGCACAAGTCCCCATAAAGGGTCAAATATATCCTCTACCAACTTACAGGTGAATCTCAATTGTTTCCTTGTGTCCTCTCTCCTCAAAACACATTGGAGAAGGTCAAAGGTTCCTCCCCTTGGGCCTTCTCCTCCAATGCGTTTTGAGAAGGAAGCAAGGACAAAGGACACAAGGAGTCAAGGAAATACAATTGCTGCACCAATCATGTCATGGCCCTTAGACTTAGGTCAGTTAGGATTTCCCCTATTGAATAGAATATGTCCTGGCCCCAAACTTTAAAACTTGGCTTACTTGGTTTCTATAAGGAGTATAGGCCGCTAGACAAATGTCCTCCATCTCACTCGGTTCGGGGCAAGTTTTTCCAGGTCACACCAGTTACTAAGGCTGCCGCTCCCTGTGCTCTCTACCTGGACGTCTCTTCTCCAAGTGGTCGACTTCAATACCGGTGTTGTGCTCTTGAGAGAAATTTGCCTCTGATATTTATGTAGACTCAATATTGGATATAAAATGTGTGAATAAATATGCTTTGGGGTAACTGCATTTGGTTAGGATCTGTAAATGGTCAAAGTAGAGTAAGTTTATTTTTCACATCAACCAGGGTGGGTGAGTTAGGACTCATGTTCCAGTCCAGGACTTTCAAACAGTTATTTTTAATGTCACAAAACACATGAATCTGAAACATGAGTTCATTTTCCTTCTGTGCAGCTAACAATCTCACCTTTTGTGGGAGAGAAAATAATTTACCCATCTTTTTTTATCAAATCTACAAAAATCAAATCAAAATAAAGGACTAAGGCTTTACAGGAAAAAAATTAACATATAAAACAAGGTTGTGATTTCTATATTACATGAGTGAACGAGATTTAAACAAGAGAAAGGATCGTTAAAGACCTCTGTATGCATACAGTAGTTTGCACTGTGCAGCAGTTTGCTGTGCAACATTTGACAAAGGGAAAAAACATAAGTTCTAACCTCTATATGAGCGAGGTGCGTACAGAACTCAGACAGAAAACCCCAAGTATGAAAAACCCTAAAGATGCTAAAGAAGAAGAGGTAGAAAGTGTAAAGATGGATATGGAAAAAAATGCTACTCAAGAGAGGGTAGATGGATGAATAGAGAAGTTAGAAAGAAAGTAAGAAAATTAATGGAAAAAAAAGTCAAATTGTCCACCATGCCAAGGTAAACCAAAAACCCTGCATCCCCTCCGAAATCCCATTACACACTGTAGTGTCAAACACACAATTGTATGCTGCTGAATACACACTTGAACAAGGGATTACATAGGGTTAACAGACTTCCTCTCCCAATAAATACATGTTGTCTGTGCAGAGGGTCTCTCAGTTCAAACGTATGCTACTTGGTATAAACAACAATCCCTTCATGTTTTGGTGTGACAGTACAGTAAATACTACTCATGGTATAGTAGGGAAGAGGGGAATTCACAGTATTGTACACACCCAACACAGTAGAGCATTCTTTAGGAAAAAAGATGACATGATAGATAGACATTGTGTATTCATTGAACAGGTTTCCTTTTTCGTAGTAGAGATCCCTGTATGTCTAGGAGCAGTGCTGTAGAAGACGACAGCCGTTCAGTAGAGAACAGTGCAGTAGTGTTGTTACCACAACGCGTTACTGTAGTAACCATTAATCTGTCGCCGCTACAGACAACCTCTCCTGTAGCTTAGCAGCTGTACAGAGATACAGGACTGACTGACCGGCCACCATCTTGGTTTTCCCAAAACAAAAACCACCTCTTTCTTCATTGTGTTTCTCTCCTGCCATGTGTGATTATGAAACGTATGTTTCACATAACATGTATGTTGTGATATCTTTACTCTTTATGACAATCCTCTGGGCCCAGTGCAATAAACCTGAATATATATATATATATATACACTGAACAAAAATATAAACGCAACATGTAAAGTGTTGGTCCCATGTTTCATGAGCTGAAATAAAAGATTCCAGAAATTTTCCATACGCACAAAAGCTTATTTCTCTCACATTTGGTGCACAAATTTGATTACATACCTGTTAGTGAGCATTTCTCCTTTGCCAAGACAATCCATCCACCTGACAGGTGTGGCATATCAAGAAGCTGATTAAACAGCATGATCATTACACAGGTGTACCTTCTGCTGGGGACAATAAAAGGCCACTCTAAAATGTGCAGTTTTGTCACACAACACAATGCCATAGATGTCTCAAGTTTTGAGGGAGCGTGCTGACTTCAGCAATGTCCCCCAGAAATGTTGCCAGAGAATTGAATGTTAATTTCAGGGAAGCTCATCTGCATGCTCGTCGTCCTCACCAGGGTCTTAACCGGACTGCAGTTCGGCGTCGTAACTGACTTCAGTGGGCAAATGCTCACCTTCGTAGGCCACTGGCACGCTGGAGAAGTGTGCTCTTCACGGATGAATCCCAGTTTCAACTGTAACGGGCAGATGGCAGACATGTGGGCGAGTGGTTTGCTGATGTCAACGTTGTAAACAGAGTGCCCCATGGTGGCGGTGGGGGTTATGGTATGGGCAGGCATAAGCTACGGACAACGAACACATTTTATCGATGGCAATTTGAATGCACAGAGATACCGTGACGAGATCCTGAGGCCAATTGCCGTGCCATTCATCCGCCGCCATTACCTCATGTTTCAGCATGATAATGCACGGCCCCATGTTGCAAGGATTTGTTCCTGGAAGCTGAAAATGTCCCAGTTCTTCCATGGCCTGCATACTCACCAGACATGTCACCCATTGAGCATGTTGGGGATGCTCTGGATCGACGTGTATGACAGCGTGTTCCAGTTCCCGCCAATATCCAGTAACTTCGCACAGCCATTAAAGAGTGGGACAACATTCCACAGGCCACAATCAACAGCCTGATCAACTCTATGCGAAGGAGATGTGTCGCGCTGCATGAGGCAAATGGTGGTCACACCAGATGCTGACTGGTTTTCTGATCCACGCCCCTCCTTTTGTTTTTTAAAAGGTATCTGTTACCAACAGATGCATATCTGTATTCCCTGTCGTGAAATCCATAGATTAGGGCCAAATGAATTTATTTCAATTGACTGATTTCCTTATATGAACTGTAACTCACTAAAATCTTTGAAATTGTTGCGTATATATTTTTGTTCAGTGTGTGTGTGTGTGTGTGTGTGTGTGTGTGTATATATATATATATATACACACACACACACACACACAGTCCTTCGATCGGCCTCCATGGCAGGCATACTGTAAAGCAAACAGTAGTAATGAACTACCATTTGGCTCAAACTAGGTGCAGCTTTGACTCACAATGGAGCCGGTGATCTGTCCAGTTTCCAGTCACTCACTAATCCAATCCGTTGTGGAGTATGGATACGCGACAGAGGATGCATTGTGGGTAGAGTGCTAGGGTCCTTACGTTATCCTGTTCAGTCGTTGTTCTCAGTCAAACATCTGTCACTTCTCAACTCTCTCCCTTGAACCATCACTACTTCTTTCAAAGTATACTAACTTCTTCTTCAAATGTAACCAACCTTACTTCCTTCCAACATGTCATCCATGGCATTATTCCTTGCCAATTTAGATTCCTCCCACTCTCCACTTTCAGTATTATCTATTTGCTTCTTCACACAACATTTCCGTCACTTGTGCTCTACTTCTCCGTCTCTTCCTTCTTTTTTTGCCTTCATCTGTCCATCGTCTCGACCCTGGACTCTCTCTGGATTCACAGAGGTCAGAGTTAACCCTGAAACCGTGTTGGGGGCGGATCCTTGGGTGTCAGGGGGCTGGGGCCATCAGTCCTGCATCACTTCCTGGTCTCCCAGGGCAACACCAACAACATCACAGTACTTCCTCGATCCTGCTCCCACGAGCAGTGCATGCTAGGATTGGGCTGAGGGTTAGGGGTGTGAGAGGGGGGGTAGGGGGTAAAGGCTGGGGTCCCAGTCCGTTAGTGTGTGTGTGCGTATGTCTACGGCAGGGCAGGGGTGAGTCTGTTAAGAAGTCCTCATTGAGATAACATCGTTAGAATCCAGTGGAGAGAATCTCAGGCTTAGCTGGCTCTGTTGGGTGGACGAATAGAAACAGAGAGAGTGAGAGGCTTATCAATAACAGAACTCATAGATACAGAATTGATTTAAACCCAAACAAAAACAACAAGAACTGCCCCTTTTGAATTTCAAGGTTTGAGAAATACCTTTGTGAAAAGGTTGTATCCAGACCATATCTTTCAACACATAGTGGACCCTTGACCGCTGAACTCACCATCCCCTGGGTCCCGGTCCAGAGACGGCGTCCTGATGACGGTTTCCTGGTTACGAGGGAGGTCACCTGACTCCTGATTGACAGGCGGCTCTCTCAGTGTTCTCAGGAGCTTGTGATGAGCTGTCTCTATGTCCTGTCGGGGTTATGGGGGAGAAAATGACAAGTAAAAGTTAGCATGGAAATAATGTCCAAATGTGTTTTCAACTCTGGGTTCTAATTGTGAGTGGGTGAGTGGATTCTCCTGTTTGTAATAGCATGTAATAGCATGTCACGTGTGTGTGTGTTTAAACGCCTTACCCTCAGCTGGTGCAGCTTGTTCATCAATTCCTCGATTGTGTGGAATATCTCATCCACGTGTTTGATCACATGGCTCTGGAGGACCTTTTGTGATTGGCCAAGCCCTCCCTCCCGGCTCAGATTCCCCAGCTCCGATTGGTCGCCCGCAGACAGGGTGGAAGAGACCTGCCCTTCTTCCTCATGATGCTGTATGTTTGATGACATCACTTCCTGGTCCAGATCAGGAAGTTCAGTGGAGGTCGGGGTGGGGGGATCAATGACCTCATCTGTGGGACTCTCATCCAGCAGTCCCTCTCCCTTCTCTGTAGGCATCACCAGGTAGAACACGTTTCCTACAGCAGAGTGGAATTAAAGAGACTATCAACAGGCTACAAAGGCAACAGTCAATCTTCATGGTGAATTGACAGTACAGTTGTGAAATCTTATAGTATGAGGCTAGTGTGCTCAGAGGATTGCGTTCAGTAGGTATGAATTGGAAAGTAGGTAGAACCAAACTGTCTGCGTTTCTAGAATGTTCTCTGGACACGACCCTGGTGTAGTAGTCACAAACATTCTCAAAACAGAGAGCCCGGGACTTAATAGAAGATATTCAACACAGGTTTGAAGAGGGCAACTGGACTGTCTACTGAAGCATTACCCCGTACACTGGCCCCGCCTCTCGGCTCAGGTGATTGGTCAGAGTGGAGATTGACATCATCAGTGATGTCATCAGGGATAGAAGGAGAGCCCGCCACCACAGCTGTGCATAAGAGGACAGATGGCGTGAAAGAGTAAGTGTGTGTCAGACAGTATATATTTATGTGTAGGGGAGCATGGTAGTGTCACGGGGGTGAGAGTTTGAGTGCAAGTGAGGGAAATGTGATATTGTACGAGAAGAAAAGGGAGGTGAAAGTCAACAGAGTTGTGGAAAGAGGCAGAAGGAAAGAAGAGAAGAAGACCAGTTGAATCACACAGAGCTTCGTTAACATGCAAAGAGAAAGGAATGTGTATTATCAAACAATTAGAGGCATTCAGTGGTCATTCAGTGGTGTCTAGGGCTGACCCCATTTGGTCGACTGTTTGGTCGATAGGCTGTTGGTCGACAGAGATTATTTTAGTCGAGCAGTCTAAAATATTTGTTTTTGTGGCAGATGAAACACCTGTCTGAGTGGACTAATCCATTGTGGAGGCCGCGTGGATGGCACACCTGCATCACCAGTAGTAGATTTACCATTAATTCTCATAACTTCTGATCTACAACGTTTGTTTGGTTACAGTCATTTCGGTTAATACATTCAACCTAGGCTACACTTATGAGGAATACGTTTAGGTTTATTTCATTCCATTTAGGAGTTGTCAATTTATTCATTGTCGTTTGTTTGTAGCGCTCCAGTCAATGTTGAGTAAGGACGCGCAACTGATTATACATAGAAGTAGGCCTAGGCTAGCACGCAAGTAAACAAAGTCTGTTTTTACATCCATTGAGAATGACAATAGTTCCTCAACGTAGCCTATATGAAAAATCTTTCCAGCTCTCTCTCCCTTTCGATAACCACTCAACATGAAAAGGGGGGAAAAAATGTCATGCTCTGATTTGGTGGAAACGTCATGAAATAGGCCTACCTGATTACTTTTTATCCCTTGCGCAAATAGCCTACAGCTATGTCTGTCCGGAGTTCACTGGAACGGGAAACTCTGAGTGCCCAGAATATTTAATACAATGTTGCAAGTTTGCTAGCACAAGCAGGACCCAAGTTAATAGTTGATACAATGTTTCAAGTTCCTTGCAGAAAGGCCATGCGTAGCCAATGTGATTTTTAAGATATGTATTTTTATCAGGATATTTTCTACCTGCAGGCTGCAATGTTTTTATTTGTTGGCTTTATGTAGGATATTTTTACATGGTTGGCAATATAAGTTACTTTTAGATTTTTGATTAACCACATGATGATTTTGAGATACGAAGACTTATTATAAATGAAATGAAACTGTTCCACGAAAATGTGCATATAAAAATCATAACTGGAACACAGATCGGTAGAAATGGTAAGATAAATTAGCACTCCAAATGGAAAAGGTTGCCGACCCCTGGTGTAGCCTATTAGGAGCGTAACAGCAGAATCTGCGAAGGCCAGCAGCAACAGGAGGAAGAGAAGAACAGTTTTTTTTCTCTTCTGCTTAGGCTAAATTGATCTCTGGCTCCCTCCAGTCATTTGTGTGTCTTAATGATTTAATCACAGTGTGCTTAAAGCATCTGACAAGCTCAGTAGCCTACATGTCAACTGCATTTATTTTCAGCAAACATGTGTAAATATTTGTATGAACATAAGTTTCAACAACTGAGACATAAACTGAACAAGTTCCACAGACATGTGACTAACATAAATCGAATAATGTGTCCCTGAACAAAGGGGGGGTCAAAATCAAAAGTAACAGTCAGTATCTGGTGTGGCCTCCAGCTGCATTAAGTACTGCAGTGCATCTCCTCATGGACTGCACCAGATTTGCCAGTTCTTGCTATGAGATGCTACCCCACTCTTCCACCAAGGCACCTGCAAGTTCCCAGACATTTCTGGGGAGAATGGCCCTAGCCCTCACCCTCCGATCCAACAGGTCCCAGACGTGCTCAATGCGATTGAGATCCAGGTTCTTCGCTGGCCATGGCAGAACACTGACATTCCTGTCTTGCAGGAAATCACGCACAGAACGAGCAGTATGGCTGGTGGCATTGTCATGCTGGAGGGTCATGTCAGGATGAGCCTGCAGGAAGGGTACCACATGAGAGAGGAGGATGTCTTCCCTGTAACGCACAGCGTTGAGATTCCCTGTAACGACAACAAGCTCAGTCCGATGATGCTGTGACACACCACCCCAGACCATAACGGACCCTCCACCTCCAAATCGATCCCGCTCCAGAGTACAGGCCTCGGTGTAACGCTCATACCTTTGACGATAAACGCGAATCCAACCATCACCCCTGGTGAGACAAAACCGTGACTCGTCAGTGAAGAGCACTTTTTGCCAGTCCTGTCTGGTCCAGCGACGGTGGGTTTGTGCCCATAGGCGACATTGTTGCCGGTGATGTCTGGTGAGGACCTGCCTTACAACAGGCCTACAAGCCCTCAGTCCAGCCTCTTTCAGCCTATTGCGGACAGTCTGAGCACTGATGGAGGGATTGTGCGTTCCTGGTGTAACTCGGGCAGTTGTTGTTGCCATCCTGTACCTGTCCCGTAGGTATGATGTTCGGATGTACGGATCCTGTGCAGGTGTTGTTACACGTGGTCTGCCACTGCGAGGACGATCAGCTGTCCGTCCTGTCTCCCTGTAGGGCTGTCTTAGGCGTCTCACAGTACGGACATTGCAATTTATTGCCCTGGCACATCTGCAGTCCTCATGCCTCCTTGCAGCATGCCTAAGGCACGTTCACACAGATAAGCAGGGACCATGGGCATCTTTCTTTTGGTGTTTTTCAGAGTCAGTAGAAAGGCCTCTTTAGTGTCCTAAGTTTTCAGAACTGTGACCTTAATTGCCTACCGTCTGTAAGCTGTTAGTGTCTTAACGACCGTTCCACAGGTGCATGTTCATTAATTGTTTATGGTTCATGGAACAAGCATGGGAAACAGTGATTAAACCCTTTACAATGACGATCTGTGAAGTTATTTGGATTTTTACGAATTATCTTTGAAAGACAGGGTCTTTGGCTGAGTTTAGTTGATTTCATTATGTTTTATTGTGTCTACAAAGATGGAAAAATACGTTTTAACATTTCAACCAACCGATTGGTCGGAAAAACAGACAACTCTAGTTTGACCAAGATTTTTTTTTGGGGGGGGACAGCCCTAGTGGAGTCAGACTTGATTTTTGACCACAGTAGACACCAAGAAACAAGCAGTAATTTAACTAAAACGTTATTAGGTTGTTGTCTAAACCTTCTGTCCCCATTACCTTTCCGCACAACATGTACACTGGGGGACCCCACCTCCGAGGGCGGGACTTCTGAATGCTCAGCCTCCAATTGGCTGGGACTGGCGCTGAGGAGAGTCTCAGAGGACGCCGGTCTCTGTCTGTCATTGAGCGAGCTCCTCTGATTGGCTGTCTCGTTTGTGGGCGTTCCATCGGAGTCGTGACTCCACCCATCTTCCTCCATGTTGTGGAAAATCAGCTGCCTTAGCATCTCCACTGAGAGGACAGAAAGAGGAATTTAATAATACATTGACAGTTGATTATCAACCAAACATATTCTAGTGACGCAAAAGTATATGTTTAAGTAAAGTGGTCTGTCTCTTTCAGTCTCACTGTCTTCAAGAGCTGCCTCAGCCACTCCAATTCGTCTCTTGACGTAGTCCCGCCCCTCACTGTGGAGGAAAGCCCCTGATTGGGCCGTTGGTGTGGTGGGCGTGAGCTCATTGTCCTCATCATTAGGAGAGTTTGTCTCCATTGAAACCACCTGCTCCGTCATCGAGTCGTCTAGGGAGATTAAACATAATCAATATTGTGTATAGAAATATTTATCTGTACTCTAAATATGATCCACTCCAAAACGTATGTTCCCTGTCTGACACAATATGTCTTACCTGATTGGTAGACATGGCTGCCAGTTGAGACAGGGGAAGCGTTACCAAGACTCGGGGAGCTGAGAGAAAGAGAGCGAGAGATGGAATTTAGTCTGTCGTTTTGTTTAGGACTACCATAGTGAATAGTCCATAATGCCATCTTCAGTCTTCATGTCTTTTCAATGGTAATTGATAGAAACAGGTCAGCTTAGGGATACTCACGAAATAGGTGTGGATCTGTTATTGGTCAAAGGTGAGGAGCCAGCAGCCAATGAGATGGTCTTTTCAAGTTGGTCTTTCCAGCTGTGAAAATAAATAAGACTTAACAACCAATGCTTTTCCATTTCAAAATGCTAATGATGATAACTCTATCATGTATATTATCTGTAAACTGGTGGACTATAGTGCTAGTATAGCTGTAGCTGGTCTAGATGTGCTTACATGTTTTTCTCTGAGGACGTCCCTGCTACCAGCTCGTAGATCTGTTGCTCTGTTGTGCTGATGACGTACAGGGCCTTGTTGTCTGAGGATGGAATCGCACATGATGAGTGACAGCTGTCAATCATTCAAAAAGCAATCACAGATTTTTGGTATCTGCATTATCGAAGATGCATCACTGAACCATGAATACTATGTAATGGTCATTATTTCAACATTAAGCAAAGTATTGAGATTGTAAGTTCCGCTATTACAGTGTTGTTACACCATTAACAGCACAAACTGGTGGCTACATCTAAACTTAACCACTGACTACTCCACACTGTGACCTCATAACCCCTGACCTCTTACCTGTGGCCACAGAGCGCACCAGCAGTGAATCTAGCTGGACCACAGGGCTGAAGGAGGCCTTGGTGTCCCCACTACCCCCTCCTCCTCCCCCCAGCCAGCGGGACGGGCAGCGCAGCAGCAGCCGGTCGTCTGGACCTCTCTGGAGCAACACCAGAAGGTCTGACAACAGCAGCGCCTGGATCTCTGGGAGCGGCAGGGAGAAACAGAACCACATGGTTAGAACCTTACAGAACAATGCTAAGAAAAACCTGGTGGAAAATGGTTGCAAGGTTTGCAACCTAAAGAGAGCAGTGGGGCGTATTAAGAGAGTATCGATTTTTAAAAAAGTGTGTTGATTACATTGACAAGGGGGTTTGACCAGAGACTATATGGGGTTTGACTCATCAGTGGGGTGTGGTGGGCCTTTCTTACCTAAGGTTTTGTCTTTACTGACTTTCCAGGTGAGAGGACCCTCATGGATCATTCTCTTACTGGTCAGGTCCAGACTCTGAGAGGAGAGACAGAAGACAAAATGGTAGACATCAGCATCATCATAACAATATCATTGGGTATGTCCAAAAAAACATTCCTTAACCCAGGATTAATTACGCAAATAAACAGCGCGCTCCTTCATCTTTATTCTCCTGGGTAGTCACCCGTTGGAATTGCCCTGGGGTAAGGAATGTTTTGGGGATTTTCAAGCCCCTCAGTCGAACACCTGATTCCCTTTTTTGTTTAAGCTGGGCTGAAGCACATTTGGGTACACCTTCTTATCATTGGGTATGTGTTATTGGAAAATAAAAATTTGGAGAGGAAACGTAGGATAAGGAAAAAAGAACAAGATCCAATTGGGCAGTACCTTCAACTGTGGCGTGGGGTCCAACCTGCGCTGGTATTGGTTGAGCCGCTGCCGGTGTTCCGTCTCCCTGACGACCTCGTTGACGGCCTGCAGTATCCCCCGGCAACAGGCTTGTGCCTGTTGGAGAGGTGGGAGGTCTGTGGAACCAGCTATGGGAAGAGAAGGACGTTACTCCAAGTGACATCAAATAAGCAAAACTACCATAGCCAAAGTTTCAGTCAATAGCTAGTAGCTACTGTTCTACTTCTAGTTAGCTATTACGTGAGTGAGCAGTTACTAAAAGCCTTGCATCAAAACAACAAGATTACCAAATCACCAAACAGTAACATAATGCTATACGCTAGCTATAGTATGTTATACATTCTCCAGTGGTACTGGTGCTGAACTGTCTGTCTGTGTGTGTGTGTGTGTGGTAGAACCCTATCCTACATACCTTCTGTGTGTGTGTGTGTGTGTGGTAGAACCCTATCCTACATACCTTCTGTGTGTGTGTGTGTGTGTGGTAGAACCCTATCCTACATACCTTCTGTGTGTTTGAGGATTTTGTCCAGAAGCAGAGGGTACTTGGTAAGTCTCTGTGTCTCAGACACCAGCAGATCCTTCAGCTGCAGCCTCCTACAGTGAGGACTGGCCTCACACTCCTGTTAATACATCAATCAATCCATATATCAATCAAATCAATCCATTAGCAGAAAAAGCCATCGCAACTGCGTGCGTGTGTTACCTGGATGATGTGTGCGAAGCGGGGGTCTTTGCGTTGTTTGTTCTTGATGAGCTCCAGGGCCTGAGACTGCTGACTGCACAGGTGGGACGCCTGCTCCTGAAACTCCTCCCCCGCCACGCCCTCAAACTACCAGAGAGGTACACACAGACGCCCCATTGAAAATACACCACTACACCATCATTTCCTTATTTTTCTCAGATTTAAATCTATTTGACAGGTATTAGCAATAGCTAAGTCTTCAAACTAGGGATGGGCATTTGAAGTTATTTCACTACACGAATAATATGCTCTTTTTTTTTCTTTTCTCGAATATCCTTAAAAACATTTATTAAAAAAAAAGCTAGCCTCTATTGACCAATCAGAATGATGCTAAATGCCACAACAGCAGACAGTGCGCCATCGTTTCCAGGGTGCTATTCCGGTAGTATTCGGCTAACAGTAGCCTAGGCTAAAAGCAACAGTGAAAGAGAAGTCTGATGTTCGCCATCATAGAACTGATTCTGTTTCAAAAAAAGTTTTCTGGTAAGAGTTTTGCATTGATCTGTGTCAGGTCTTGTGGACCCTCCGTTGGTGTGCGCCTGTAGGCTAATCGCTATTTGAAGTGGGGGAAATAGCATTCCGTTGTCAGGGCTGACGGGAGGGCTAAATGCATTATGATAGTAAAAATACCTTTCCATGTAAAATCCAACCCCATAACTAGGGTTGTAAAGCTAACGGTAATTTACTAGTTACAGGAATATGCTGTGATTTTGCTTATGAATAGAAAATCTGTCAATCTATATATATTAATATATAGTATTCATTTTTTATATCTGTCTCCATATTGTCCATGAGTTTCTAGTAGATTAACCATATGGTCTAAGAGAGAAAAAAACAAATTAATGAAAAAAGCATCTAATCAACAATGACATTATTTTCAATCAACTCTGCAACTCTTCCAACTATTGACTTTTTTCACAACTGCCACCAGTTTGACACAAAAAACATTGACAACAAATACATATTGACATAGTAAAATAAATAAAATGTATTTCATGCTGAAGCCCTCATATTAAACACCAATGGTATTCACTAAGTTGATGGTTTATATTTAGGATAATGTTCTACAGCTTTGTCATTAAAATGTTTTTTATGATCTTATTTAATTATTTAATATATTTTACATGTGATAAGGCCACACCTGTGATCATCTGAAGTACCCAAAAGGGCCACTAGAGGTGTTGTCATAAATTACATTTTTATGAAGTTACCAAAATTCTGGTAGTTTCCTGGTAAAATTTGAACGTTTCCAGTAATACCCAGTTTGCAACACTACCCATAACCCATAGCCCATGAGAAAATGAAAATCACTTTGTGCATTGTAAGAACTGTAGTCTACGTTTACAGCGTGCAACTGTTAACAACGTACTGTCAAAGCCACGTGACATCTGAAGCAACAGCAGTTCAATGCGCCGTACATTAAACACTACATTCTAAAGTTTGTTGTTTTATTAAATGAAGCATTTCAAATGTCATGGTATATCCGTGTGTGTAACAATGTAACATGGACAATTTAATTTAGAAAAGCTTTTTCCATTGTTAAAATAGGCCAAATAAATAATAATACTCTCTCACTCTCACAATAATACTCTCACTCTCTGTCCGGATATTCGATTAACCGTGCCCATCCCTACTTCAAACTGACACAGTTAACAATGTAACACTCCATCTCACTGACGAAGATGGAGGGAGAGAGATATGAAGGAATGACATGGTTTGTTAAACTTACCCTGGCCAGCATGATGTCACCGATGCCCTGAACGATGGGAGATTCTCTTCTCTTCTTCATGGCTTCACACAGACTCGCTGTGACACGATACCGTTGGAGCAAGGTTGATCAAAAACAATAACTACATTGAATCAACGTAGAACATAACCGTCAATGAGACAGACTGCCACTCAAAGGCAATGCTATAAACATTGCTTCTCTACCATTCACCAACTAAATTCATTAAAACATATGATATTTACACAGCAAAGCCACTCAAACAGAAAACCCCTTTTATGTGACACGACCTTATCAGAACTTCAAATCCACATTGCTTGAATACATATTGACAGAACTGAGAAACACGCATAGACACACACAGTGACTGACCATGAAGCTCGTAGACCTGAGGCAGGTTGGGGAAGATGCAGGCCAGCTCGTCAGAGCTCAGTACACACCTCATCTTCTGGAAGAACACCTGATCCAACACCCTGAGTGTACGCAGGTGAGACGCCTCCGTTGTCAGCAATTCTGATAAAGGAGAGGGGGGCGGGGCGAGAGAGAGAGAGAAAGATGAGAGAATAAAAGGGGTGTAAATATAACCCTCTCCTCTAATTTACTTCTGAAATAACAGTCCCATAGAGGCGGTTGTCTGATAGAATCCCTTGGGAATGGGCTACGTGTTGTATGTACACATCATGATTTCATGTGTTATCTTTAGTCAACTAATCTGATAGATAGTGACCTTTAGAGGATACGGGCCCAATTATAGATGTATAGCAATGTCACGTGTTACTCTCAGCCTGGCACACTGTTTCTAGCCAAAGCCTGGTCAATCAGTGGTTTTTTTACCGTAGATGACAGCCTGTCGGTCCACCTCTCGGGGACAGAGAGTGGCCAAGACCTGCGGGGCCACCGTCTCCTGCCAGTTGTGACTGTCCACCACGTCCTCCTCTAGGGCTGGGGCGTCAGGGAGCAGGGCCACTGGGAACTCCACACTCCTACACACACAAATTATTAAATATACTTGCAAGTCCCTCAACAAAGCTTAACACATTATAGTAAGGTTGACTTACTTTCGTCTGGAGGACTGAGGGGTGTACGGAGGGGTGGGGTTCTCGCAGGATCTGAGGAGAACAACACACAGATTTGCTTACATTCTGACAGTTCTTTATATTCAATGCTGCTGCTTAACCAGTCTCTAGGAGTGATTCATACAGTGTGAGAGTTCCAAGGGGTGTGTGTGTGTGTGAGTTCCAAGGGGGTGTGTGTGTGTGTGTTTGAGCAGTGTGTATGCTCCAGATCTTGGATTGGGTATGTGTTGTAGTCTCACCGTGCTGAGCTGCTGGAGGCTGAGGAGGCGCTGTGGTGTAGGGGTCTCAGGCCCGGCCCCTCCCTCTCCTCTCCACAGTCCTCCATGTCCACGTCGCTACGGGAACGAGGGACTGTCTCCGCCCCCGAGGACCCGCCGCGCCGACGCCCCTCCCCCTGCGCCTTTAGAGACTCACTACGAGCCAGACGCACCGACACCGTAGGGCTGAGAGAGGGAGGGAGAGAGAGACACGAATCAAACACATGCACGGTTTTGAACACACTAACAATTTTGCACAAGGGTCGAGACACACACTCTCTCCCTCCCTCCCTCCCTCCCTGTTACCTGTCCATGCTGTCCTCTCCCAGGCTGCTGGAGGACAATCTCGGAGGGTCTCCCTCGGCCCCCTCCTCCCCAGGGGATCTCTATGTGGTTCTCAAACTGCTGGATTATGTTCCTCACACTGCCCGGACGCACTGAGGAGAGAAAATGAGACAGGAGACACACAGATAACAGGTAAACAGAACATCAATCAATCGTATTTTATAAATGATATACACTGAGTGTACAAAACATTAAGAACACCTTCCTAATATTTGACTTCAGAACAGCCTTAATTGGTCAGGGCATGGACTATACAAGGTGTCAAAAGCGTTCCAAAGGGATGCTGGCCCATGTTGACTCCAATGCTTCCCACAGTTGTGTGAAGATGGCTGGATGTCCTTTGGGTGGTGGACCTTTCTTGATACACACGGGAAACCCAGCAGCGTTATAGTTCTTGACACAAACTGGTGCGCCTGGCACCTACTACCATACCCCATTCAAAGGCACTTAAATATTTTGTCTTGCCCATTCACCCTCTGAATGGGACACATACACAATCCATGTCTCAATTGTCTCATGGCTTAAAAATCCTTCATTAACCTGTCTCCTCCCCTTCATCTACAATGATTGAAGTGGATTTAACAAGTGATATCAATAAGGGATCATAGCTTTCACCTGGTCAGTCCATGTCATGGAACGAGCAGGTGTTCTTAATGTTTTGTACACTCAGTGTAAATCAGCAAAAAATGCTTTCCAGATACCCAGCTTAGACCACAAAGAGCAAGCTATAACAGTAAAACATGTATGAACGCACGACTAAGTCGCTTCGGATAAAAGCGTCTGCTAAATGGCATTTATTAATATGCAGTGCCTTCAGAAAGTATTAAGTAAGTATATTATTAAATCTGCTTGAAAATCCATGTCAAGACCTGAAAATGGTTGTCTAGCAAATGATAAACAACCAATTTGACAGAGCTTAAAGAATTCAGAAATGAATAATGGGCAAATGTTGCACAATCCAGGTGTGGAAAGCTCTTAAGAGACTTACCCAGAAATACCTACAGCTGCCAAAGGTGATTCAAACATGAATTGACTCATGTAATCAAGATAGGTGTTTTATTAGTCTTTTTTTCTTCCACTTTGACATGAGTATCTTTTGTAGCTCGTTGACAAAAAATGACAATTCAATCCATTTGAATCCCATTTTGTAACACAACAAAATGTGGAAAAAGTCAATGGGTGTATACTTTCTGAAGGCACTTTATATTATGTTTTAAAATGAGCTTAAAAAAAATAAAAAACACTGAAGAAAAAATGCGATAAAGGAAAGATTAAAAAGAATAAATAAAAATAGATAAATGATATACCTTCAGTGGGAGACAAGGGAACATGGAACGCTGGGGAATCAAAGTGAACCAAAAGAAGCAATGAAATCAGAACGATGGAAAAGTCTTAGATCAATCATCTTAAATCCTCTTAAACAAATCAATAAGGGTGAAAACAAAGGATGAGGTCACTGGAATTAAATGATACTGTAAGATGAGAACAGAAAGTGTGTGCTTTTGTGTGTGTGTGTTTGTATATTTACTGGACTGAGAGGTGCTCCTGGGCTTGCCGATATACTTCAGGATGGGGTTTCTCTTCCTGTCCTCTCCATCCTTGTCTTTCTTTGAACTGCTCAGCTGTAGTAAACATAAACAAAGAACACCACTGGAAAATTGCCGAAACTTGTGTCAAAGCAAAACTCCCACAACACAATGTTTCATACCCTATAATGATGAATGGTAAGACAGAGGAATTAGGTCACACATGTGACACCTCTTGGTGGATCATTACCTGAAGGTTTGTAGCTTATGGACTACATGCTCCGCCTATTCAAAACAGCCTGAATAGCTTTTAGACGTTTCAATAAATAAATATGACTGATAAGAGAATTACAAATCCATGCGACGGTGGTAGACAAGAGTCCTGCCTCCTCCCCTCCTTACCTTCTTGGTCTTGGGAAAGAAGGCAAGCCACTTCTCCTTCTCAGTGCTGAGGCCTGGGAACACCCTGGAGTCCCTCAGCTTTATGCCTGAATGACGGAGGTACAGCAGTACTGCAGAGGCTAGAGGAGAACTGAAGAGGGGAGGGAGAGAGAAGGAAAGAGAGAAAAAGGTAGAAGGGGGGGGGGGGGGGTAGAATAAAGATAGACATAAAGAAAGGGGAAGGGTGTAGAGAGAGGGAGAGAGCAAAAGAGAGTGAGAGAAAGAGTGAAAAAGAGAGGGAGGGAAAGCGAAGAAGGGAGAGCGAAAGAGGGAGAACAGAAGGACAGAATTGAGAGGGGCATCTCTATGTGAACAGACAGTAGTATTGGGATTCAATCATGTTCCTGCAACACAGACATGAGACACGCTCCGGCTTTTATTACCTTCTGTCCTCTTCGTGCTTCGAGCTGCAACACACAGAAAAACAATCATTAGCTTATTCTATCGCTCGCTCTTTTGGCCTTCCACACAAAATCAAAAACAACCTTTAATTTAATTAGGTCTGCGGATTCTTTCCAAAGAGTCTCGGCCCAGTAAAACAAGGTGAGAAAAAAAATCCTTGCTGAGAAAAATCAAGGCGGTCCATTGTGTGTCTACCTGCTAGCAGTGAGTCATGTGATGGGAATGGGTGTGTTTTAAAGCATCATGTGGCTAGGTGGCCATGGCCCGAGGCTAGCCTGCTGAAGCTCCCAGTGATCACACTCTGACCTTTGGTACAGTACAGTGAGAGGTTGAGCTGGCAGGCTCACGGTCACACGCTCCAATACCGTTTTATTGGCCACCAGGCAGCTACAACATCTGACCCGTTGCTAAGCAACCACCCGGTTCAGTGCCCTGATGGTTACGAATAGTGTGTCCTACTGTAGTTACTGTTGTGCTTTGCTGACATTGAATCATCAAAAAGGAAAGCACAACACAGTATCAGCATTTGTATTGTTTAAAGTAGTCATAGTATTACTATTTAAAAGTGGCCCTGAAAAGCTTGTGGCCCTGACATATACTTCATATACAGTGGGGTCCGAAAAACAAAGGTATAAAATAAATAATTCATATACTGAGCTTTATTGTATGCTAAAAAAATTGGGAAATGATCTTATTTTATACTAATACAATTGCTGAGAAACAGCTTTTCAAAAAGGTATGGGTCAAAATTATTGTCAACCCTGTTTTCAATAACTTGCGAGGATAACGGCACTGAGCCTTTTTTTTAAATTATTGATTGGAGAACACATTAGGAGGGATCTTAGACCATTCCTCCATACAGAATCCTTCCAGATCTTTGATAACCTTCGACTGTGCTTATGGACTGCCCTCTTCATTTCAAACCACAGGTTTTCAATGGGTTTCAAGTCCGGAGACTGAGATGGCTATTGCAAAATGTTGATTTTGTGGCCAATTAACCATTTCTTTGTGGATTTTGAAGTGTGCTTGGGGTTATTGTCTTGCTGGAAAATCTACTTGCGGCCAAGTTTCAGCCTTCTGGCAGAGGCAACCAAGTTTTTGGCTAAAATGTCCTGGGTGATGATGCCGTTGACCTTAACAAGGACCCCAGGACCAGTGGAAGCAAAATAGCCCCATAACATCAAAGATCCACCACCATGTTTTACAGCGGGCATGAGGTTCTTTTCTGCTTATGCATTCTCATTTCGACGCCAAACCCACCGCTGGTGTACGTGGCCAAATAGCTATATTTTCATGTCATCTGACCAAAGCACCGGTTCCAATCGAAGTGCCGGTGCATTTACATTTGTTGGATGACATGAAAATAGAGCGCTTTGGCCACACACATCAGTGGTGGGTTTGGCGTCGAAATGAGAATGGATGAGCAGAAAAGAACCCCATTTTAAGCATACAATATAGCTCAGTATTTGATTTATTTTATACAGTCATTTTTGCTCATCTTTATCAAGGGTGTCAATAATGTCAGACCCCACTGTATGTATATAACACAAATACGGTATTTCACACTCCACCTCACAGTCCCTGGTATAAAATATACTTTATGTATCATATAGGTAGACGTTCCAACTCACAGTATCTCCCAGAGAGCAGTGACCTGTCTGTCCACCACTAGCCTCTCCTTGGCTGGGTCTCCATCCAGCTGCTGCAGGTCTCCCTCTCCAAACAGAGAGCCCAGACCCATCATCTGCTTATTCCTGCACACAAACACAACACAAACACAATTAACACACACACGAGCGCACGCTCACACAGCCATTTTCTGCATTTACCACAAACCTCAAGGGACACCTATGGTTTCATACACACACCCTTTCAAACAACACAGACACTGACACTATTCAACTAGGCTTGTCCGATAGACGGTACCTGTAATCCTGTATTTGGTCCTGAATGTCGGGCAGCACCTGCTGTTGGAGCTCAGACAGAGGTCCCCTGATGTCCTCCTGGGCATGAAGACGACTCTCTGGGACAGGACACAACACCATGCAGTAAGACTAACTGAACAACACAGCACAGGGCATTCATAGGAAAAACGCAACAAACACAAATTGCCCAAATAGATCAACAATTGTTACACTGCATGTTGAGAGTAACTTACCTATATCCGTCAGGTATTCTTCTCTTACTCTGATTTTCAACGGCTGCAAAATAAAACGTTTAAGGACCCCATTACATAGCTGAGTTCAAGCTTTCTTTACAATCTCTCAAGATAAATCGATGGGCTGGGGCCTTACGTATTAAACATCTCAGAGAAGCAGGGTGGAACAAGGATCAGGTTCCCCCCCGATCCATGGCATTTTATTCATTATGATCCAAAAGTCCAAACTGATCCTAAATTAGAACTCCTACTTTGAGATGCTTGATACTTACAGGCCCTGGTCTAACTGAATGAGATGTATTAATTGAATTGATTAATTGAATGAACCAATGAGAGACGTACAGCATCAGGGTCCAGGAAGTGGGAGCAGATCTGTGGGGCGAGGGCACGGGCGTCTTTAGGGCTGGAGCCCAGGTAGGCCTCCACTGACAGGTAGAACAGCTGTTGTAGAGACACACACACACCCCAGATTAGTTCCCATGTAAAAGAGATCAACCTACAGTAAATAGCAGTATTCAAGATCAAAAGCACTGACCAGCGGGTTGGGATCCAGTAGCTGACTGAAGACGTATCTCATGAACACGGTCATGTGGGCTGGTCGCGACTTGAGAAGCTCTATGTCCTGAAATGGGCCGTCCATCTGATGGAGAGGGGAGGAAAGGGAGAGAGAGGCAAGGAGATGAATATAGTTCAACAGCTCATACCTACGTGAGATGCAGGGTAGTTAGATGTGATGTTTGCTGATGAAGACCATGTCACCTCGTTGAGCGTATAGCTGTTGTCCTCTTCCTCCTCTTCCTCTGGGCCAATGATCTGAGCCTTCCCAGCCTGACAAGAGACACATCATGATGATATGAGGAAAATAGAACCTTTGGCATGTGTTCGTGTGTAGGAGACATTGTTCACCTCACTAAGGGTGGACTACAGGCAAGTGTGTTTGATCTCACAGAATCGGTGTGTGCGTGTGTGTGGGTCTCACCGAGTCAGTGAAGGTGTGTGTGTCGGAACCCTGTCTCCGGTGTAGGGGGGTCCTGAAGGAGGAGGTGGAGGGGGAGGAGTGGGGGCTCTCAAAGGCCTGGGGGGTGGAGGGGTGAAAAGGACCATATCTCTCTCTCATTCACTTTCTCTCTGGGATTCTCTCACTCTCACTCTAATCAGTCATTCATAAAGGATGAGTGCTAACATTACTTACCTCAAAGTCTCCTTCACTTGAATCCACCGACAACCGACCTGCAGAAACATCAAGACATTATATCGATTTTCCTCACACAAAAACACACATACAAGAATCATAGACAAACAGAATCCCATACAAACCTTCTCCTGCTACTACATAGTTGGTCACAGCTTCCGATCGAGTTCCATCCTTGAGAGACAGAGAAATAACAAAGATGTTAAACTACGGTAATGACAATGTAATAGATAGTACCTATTAGGTACTGACAGATTTAGATGACAGGTGTTAAGGGTCTGTTGTCATGCACACAGGTATCTCACCAGATCTTGTTGGATTTTAACCCGGACTTGTTGGGCCCGCCTCTTGGCACTTTCAATTCGCTCCTCCAGGGATGGGGAGGGGTTCCGTGACAGTTCCTCCATCAAGTCCTGCGGGATTGGTCAGAGTGACATTATCAGAGGCGCTGATTGTTCAGTGAAGAGAACCCCCCAAATGACTATTGGTCTGAATAAAGAGCTACTTTCATAAGCAGTGTGTCCTTTCCATTGCATATTCAGTGGGGCACAATATTTTGAGATAGACATATCTGTTCTATATATTACATTTCTATATTACAGATGACTAAAAAGTATCCATTCTAAGTGGGTTTGACTGTTTGGAGTTGCAACATTTCCCAAAGGATTACGGATCCTGCTTATTACCAACTGATTCTGGGAATCTTCCAACCAAGATTTCTGGAAAACCTGGGAATTTTGGGAATGTTACCGGAATTTTGCAACCCTGTATATAACTGTTACCTGAAGCTCAGCCTCTCCCTGTTCCAGCATGTTCCTGAGAATCTGAGTGGCATGTTTCTGCACATCTAGGTTCTAACACACGCAATGACAGAGAAGGAGAGAGAAAATGCTGTATTATTCAACTTATTGTTGTTGGCCCATGTTACACAACATTGCTTGAACATATGGTCACAGAAATGGTCAGGTTTAGCCTACCAGTCAGTGTTTGTAAGTATTATGGTGATGGTTAAGGTATGGTGATTAAGGGAACTCACCTGCAGTGGTTTGGTGATTCTTTGGGAGGGGGTGCTGGTCAGTCCAGGGGGCAGGGGTGGAGGTGGTGGAGGCGGGGCTTCTCCTCCCAGTGACGTCCTCTGATTGGGTAAGAGGTCAGTGGGGAGGGGGTGTAGGGGGAGGGCAGCTGCTGAAGGGGGCGGTCCTTGAAGAGTCAGAGCAACATATGTCCCAGCTGGAAGGATGGAGAGAAAGTGAGAAAGATAGAGAGAGAGCGAAAGAGCAACAGAGAGAGGACAGAAAGTGACAGACATATTGCTACACCTGAACATATTTCACAAATATAGGAATCATAACTAGCACCATCATCATCATCATCATCACCACCAACGTTATAGTAACCAGTGACACTCACACTTGATGAGCTTCACCACCTCCTGATGAGACATGGCCGACACCAGCGAGCCATTGACCTGAGAGAGAGATGGAGGGATGGAGAGAGAGAGAGAATTAGAAAGAGAGAGACACACTAACTCTGCTGAGTGTAGTCTCAGATCACGAAGGCACAGATATTGGGTTTGCGGTAATAGTTTGAAATGAGTAGTAACCTTTATGATTCTGTCTCCCTCGTGGACCCCTGCCTTGACCGCTGCGCCACCTGCATGGAGAGATATGAGCGACATATGAGAGACTGTCCAAGAAGAATTAGAGAAGACGTGTAGAAATGTACTAAGTCACTGTGTGTGTGTCTGACCTGGTCGAACATTCTGCACCAGCTTGATCCTCTCGCCACACACAGTGAAACCAAACCCTAGCTGATCCTTCTGTACCACCACACATCTCTGAACAAGACCTGGACCTGAGATGTGGAGAGAGAGGAGGGAGAGAGATGGAGCGAAGGAGAGAAAGAAGGGGGGAGGGGGGTATGGAGTGAAGGAGAGAGAGAAGGAAGGGAAGATATGGAGTGAAGGAGAGAGAAAGAGACCAAGAGATGAAGAGAAAGAGTCAACTGGCTATACCATGATGAACCAACGCCTAGCCCCACCAGCCCACCTTATAACCCACATCTGTGCTATAAACCCCATGTCCCGTGTAGCTCAGTTGGTAGAGCATGGCGCTTGCAACACCAGGGTTGTTGGTTTGACTCCCACGGGGACCAGTACGAAAAAAGTATGAAAATGTATGAGCTCACTACTGTAAGTCGCTCTGGATAAGAGTGTCTGCTAAATGACAAAATTGTAAATGTACCTGTGCTCTCAGCGGGGAAGTCAGCCAGAGTCTCCCTCTGCTGGCCGCTGGAGGTCTTGCGCTCCGAATCTCCTATAGTCAGGCTGCTGAGCCTGGAGGGAAAGGCAGGACAAGAGGAACGTGAGACACAAATAGGATGCTACAAGGTGGAAGGATTAATCAATCAGGATCACACTGGGAGGGCTGGGGAGAAGGAGAGGGAGGGAGGGAGGATTTCTGGCAGGAGGTGAGAGAGGAAGGAGGAGAGAGTAAAGAGGAGTGGCATGGGACACAGAGGCTGCATCTCAAGTCGCCTTTCCCTGGATCCTATCTCCTTGACACCTTCTCAAGCATATTGGAGAAGGTCCAAAATCCCTCTTCGCTCAGACATTCTTCTCCAATGCATTTTGAAAAGGAGGCGAGGAGAGAGGATGTGAGGTATTGAGGAAAAATGTATTGTGAAAGAGCCAGAGATGTAGGTAGAAGAGGATGGAAGAAGAAGAGGAGACCAGGGGGTAGATAGATGGAGAGCGTGCCAGAGCTTGGAGGAGAGATTCTGTGAGGGGAGACTGCTGAGGTAAAGTGGCAAACTGTAATCTGTGCTTAGTTTGCCTTTCAGCATTTCTTACAGCTCAAGTATAAACTGAGCAGAAAACTCACCAAGCAGCAAAGGGGCTGAAAGCGAGGCATCAGAGAACAAGAGGGAATAACAGAGAAGGCAGAAAGGGCCCAAGAGAGAAAAGGAAAGAAAAGTGGTTTAGAATAAAAGTAGGAGAGTAAAAGTGGTCAAGCCCTGACAGACAAACAAGGAGAGTTAAAGAGTACGTAAAGTGATGACACTAAGAAAGGAGACCTGCTGTAGCAGCGATCTAACCTCCTCCCTAGGCTGGTAACACTGTGCTTCAAAGTGGAACTTGAAAGTGGTGTGGTTAAAATCGAAAAGGAAGCGAGCTTGCTACAGTTGTATTAGATGGGACTTAGAAAAATTGCAATAATGACCAATCAAAATAAATGTTTTATCACATTGAACATATTATTTTTGGGAAAATCATTTGATTCTGAGTTCATTTCTAAGATGCGTACTTTCAGATTTTCCTTGTTTAAATCACTTCCGCTGCTCATGCTCTGAAGTCCACAGCGTAGAGGAAGGTTCATCTAAGGCAGGGATCATCAACTAGATTCAGCGAAGGGTCCATTTTTTTCTTGAGCGGATGGTCAGGGGGCAGAACATAATTAGAAATAATTTGTAGACTGCAAATTGACCGAAAGAAGCCCAAACAGATATCACTAAAACAATCATTTCAAACCTTGCTTACATTTGTATACGATCAAATATATTTATCTATTATGCGTGGGAATACTTTGGAACAGATTTCCAAAATTAAAATCATTTGGAGCTGATTTGCTGTTTTGTTTTTGTTTTTTTTACAGTCTAGTATATCCAACAAAAAAAACATAACATGTTTTTTTTTTTTGCTCTGAAAACTTGGGGGGGTGGGGGGGGGGACAAATAAAATCACAAGGTGGTCAAATTCGGCCCATGGGCTGCTAGTTGGGGAACCCTGATCTAATGGTTATGCTAGATGTTGATGGACTGAGAGATCAGCCATAGGCTTTCATTCAAGTTCCATTCTGAGGCGCTGTGAAACCAGACAGACAGAGAGAGCGCCGGCAGGTTGACGAGATTAGCAGCGTTCCAACTGCAGATCTACAGTAAGCACCAACAGGGACTCTTATTGGACAGCCAGCCTACCTGGGCAGTTGAGAATGTTTCTGAATGGCTGCCCCACTGTCAAATGACACAGGAAGTGGACACAGAGACAGCAAAAGTGAAAGGGCAAAGAGGGAAAAGCGAAAAGAGAGGTACACATGAACAAGACAGACAGATATGCATGCAGACACATACAGTATGCAAATACAATAGACAGTGAGCCATAAAGGATGCCACATCAAAAGTAACCAGTGAATCAAAGGTGATACAGCTGCCTCATAGTTGAGAATAGCCCTGTACATAAAGCTAAGCTGAGGGGATCACAACTTAGCACAATATCCAACATGTATTAATGTAGATCTTTGAACATAATAATAACTGGCTGCCTGTCTATCAAGAAGACATCAGGTGAATACATTATATTTCCTTGATTACTTTAATCCTCCCCACTCATCTCCTTCTCAAAGCGCATTGGAGCTCCCTCCCCTCTGATCTTCTCCTCCAATTGCGTTTTGAGAAGGAGACAAGGAGAGAGGACCAGAGAAATCAAGGAAATACAACTGAGATTGACCCATCTGTCAGTAGCACCATCATCAGCAGCAGTCAGTCCTACCTGTCCAGTGTTGAGGTGGGGGGGCGGAGACTCATGGCTGCAGACGGCTCAAGCGTGTCCGTGTCCTCTCCTGCAGTCCAATGATGTCACAGCAGGGTGACCATCTCCTTTTCTCTTCAAGTTTATTGTACAGAGTTCCACAGTGATGCTGCTGTCTGCCAGTTATGTCCAAACGTTACAACTCCTCACGTCAGCTAGTGGGGAGCTTATTCCTTTCAGAGAGTGCTCGGAGCATCTTCCTCATGTTTTCATAGGCAATCTTCAAGTATCTTACAGTAGACAGTTGAAACTACACCCCCGGCAAATTGAAACAGTGTTAGAACTATCTAGCTTGACAGGAAAAGTTCAAAAATAGCTGGTGGGGGACTTTAAATTGTGTGCTCCCTCAAAGCAAAATGCATGAAATTCAGGCACCACTGACTGCAATATCTACTGTGTTATTTTCCTTCAGTCTTTAGACAAAGTGTAATTACATAGCAATACCAACAACAAGCAAATAAATAGTATATATTTTTAAAGGCTTGTTGTTGTTGGGTTTCCAGTCCTACCAGGAAGTGATAGCTTGCACAATAACGTTGTCATCAAATATGTTTTAGTGACAGAGTAATGTCTGTTTGTCAACAGCTCCTGTCCTGTGCTATTTTATTTGTTTTCTGAGATATATCAGCTAGTAAACATTCTAATTAATTACAATGCATATGCATTTCGACTAGTATCCCAACATTAGCTTAAACTCATTCAAATTAAGTAATATGTGTCTATATAAAGATTTCCTCTGGTTTATTATGTTGATACTGCCAAGCCAAGTAACGTCAGCTAGACAATTGTACTCGCATTATCCTCAGTAAATTGGTTTCCATCCCTTGCGAGCTAAATTTAGTTACAGAATCCTTGAGGCTAGTTTACTGGTGTGGCTCTTGGAAGAGCAACAGTACGTGATCTCCGTGCACGTGATGATATTCGACTAGACTTCCCTTTGTCTGTGTTAAAACTTGGCCAATGTGGTGCTGTGAACTGTTCTAAGAAGCGAGTTAGTGCAACATTTAAAATGCACAAAAAGTACCTTCGAATGGCATGCATTGGTGCAGCATGATTACCTAAGTGTCCCTAGCTTGATTGAGAGGAGGCTATCCGCTGTAAACAGGATGTCTTCTGACCTGACTGGACGTTCCACTGCAATACTCCACCACTAACTCGTAGCTATAAACTGGAGCCTGTTTAATGCTACGATTTCTAGCAATGCGAGTTACGATGTAAGGCGGGCTAGTTCCCTAACAAGCTAGCTAACGTTGACTGGCCAGTGAACGTTGAAAGTAAATCCTCCCGATAAACTTTCCCAAAAATGAAAGACCAATTATATACACGACAAGCGACTAGTTAGCTGATGTTATTGATATCTAGCATTATATAACGTTAAGAACCGAGCTTTGTTAGCTGGGTAGCTAGGTTGCCCTTTACATCAAGTTGGCTGACTATTATTGCAAAATCTATAGCTAAATAAATATTGTTTTCATGCAAATTAAACACTTGCTTTTGACAACAAATGGGGTCTCTTTATGCAACACTCACTGTTGTAGAGAATATTTGGTTGTGATAAGCAAATAATGGCTGGCTAGCTATTAACAAGCTAATTCCGATAGAGGCCAAAAGCCATCCGCGACATCACGTGAAAACTGTGATTGGACACAAGAGCGTTCTCGTCGGCTATGACGCTGACGCGATAGCGGTCAGCCGAGAGCAATGGAGGACTAGCTAAAGCTAAACTAGTCTGCCACTCAAATGCATTAGCTAGCTAGCATCTGAAATGTAGACATTGAGGCCAGTTCTCTGGAATGTAAAGATAAATCCAGTATCCTCTTTCTTGTACAATGTGTACATTCAACTTGCATTTCTTTCTTTCTCGAAAGACAGTCCATTCGATTCGGCTTAGCGTTATAGCTAGATGCAGGCGACGTCTCTCCTTTCCAAACAACTCGCTTCATATGATCAAACTGCTGCATTCCATGGGGTGAGATTCCATTGTCCCACACTTCCTCGCATTCCTCGATTAATCCACATTTCTGATTGCATTAATATGTTAATGTATTTAGCTGTAGCCTTCAAGCCGATGATCCATATTATGTTGTTATCCACCTACCTAAATCCAGTAGCTATTCCTCCTCTCCCATAAAGTGGTGGTTGTGTATGGAAATCATACCATGTCCCAAGAGCAAGACAAACTAAAGAGACACCCCCAACTGGTTGGATTCCAGTACTGCAACAGTCCATACAAAAATCCCCAGAATTACCAATAGTGTATGATTGCCGCCTCCAATTTGGGCATTCCAGCATCTGCATGAAGAGAATATGTATAATTAGATCAGTGGCGACCCTTCATTTTTTGTGTGCCTGTTTTGCATGTTATTTTGGCATTAATACGTGTCACATATCAGTTTGCAAACAATGTAAAAAAAAAAAAAAAATATCATTGAGTTAATAAAGCCGCATACAAACATGGTCTCGTTTTTGCTTTCTTGAGTAAGGCAGCTCCAAAATGCAGGTGTTTCAGCCTAGCTCAGTGCTTTTGTGGTGGTGTGGCAGCCAGCGGAAAATACAGAGTGTAGGGGTTGGTAATATTCTCTACTTGCGCCGTGATTGGCTCAGTGTTCTGTCACTCATGGGGACACTACGTCACCGCAATATATACAGGGAGAGATAAAACATTCAAGTGTTGCCATAGATTTTGGGTGCTGCCATAGATTTACTTTAGAAGTGCCCATCCAACAAGGCTCAAGGTCATTGGCCACAGATAAAATGAGGTCAAATCACATTATATCTACAGTAGCTTTGATTGGACTGATCATGTCAACATCATACTTTCAAAATCTTAGCAAGCAAGCTAGACAAGCAGTCATCATCAGGAATCAGGTCGACAATCTACTGACAAATCCTTGTCATATGAAGAGAAATGATAGATAAAACATATCGGTGCTCATCTGCCATTGGACATAAACATTACACAACAAGTTGGAAATCGCAAATTCAGCAATGACTGGTTTGGAAGGAATCAGTGGCTAACTGCAAGCTTTGCAAAGCAATTACTAGGCTGCTATTCAGTGGAGAGGGTGTGTGGTCCAAGTCTGTGTTTAAGGGTCTCTTTTCCAAGCTTAAAAGGATAAACATTCACATGCAACACCATGGGCCAGAAAAGGTTGAATACATTGGCCATGCTGTCAATCCAGCACGACTTCTGCTGCGTTCAAAACAACTGGAAACTCGGAACTGGGAAATCTCAGACTTCAGTGAGTTCAAGACAACTGGGAACTCTGAAAAAAAAAACTAGCTCTGACTGGGAAAATAAGTTTTGAAAGGTCATCCAACTCGGAATTTCAAGTTGGGAATTCGGGCCTCTTTCTAGAAATCCGACCTGAAGATCACTGACGTCATCATGATTCAACCTTGTTTTTTTTCAGAGTTCCCAGTTGTCTTGACAGCACCATAAATCCAGAGAAAGACAGACTTTGATGACAAAGTTTGATGACAAAATGTGCCCACAAGAAGGACCGCCACGCCACCTTCCTGTTCAAGTGAGCACAGCACAACATGGTGAGTCCAAAAATGTATTGTATGCTGCTGCATAAATGATTTAATATGCCAGGGAGATATGTATACGTATACTGTAGCTAATAATGTAATACTAAGTGTATGTTAGTAGCCCATGTGCCTCACCCTAATAATTTGGTCCCTTTCCCTCTCATAATTTAGCCTACTGTTCTGACTTGGTGGTGCACGTGTAGCTCAGTTGGTAGAGCATGGCGTTTGCAACACCAGGATTGTGTGTTCGATTCCCACGGGGGGCCAGTATGATTTTTTTTTTTTATGCATTCACTAACTGTAAGTTGCTCTGGATAAGAGCATCTGCTAAATGACTAAAATGTAAATGTAGCCTATAGCCTGTTTTAGATAAAAATTTAAACATGGAATATTGTAAGAGCTTTCATTGTCTGCTTATATGACCCCTTTATTTATCCTACAGTTCTGACTTCGTGTACAGGGAGAATACTGTAAGAACGGCCTTTGTTCTGAATTTTGTCATTGTACATTTCAAAAGTGCTAGGGTAAATAGTTATATTGACTTCGTCCATCTTAGCTCGCTCATTAATGTCTTAATCGAAATTACGGCTTGCCTCTTATCTTGGTGGTCCTCTGTAGCTCAGCTGGTAGAGCACGGCGCTTGTAACGCTAAGGTAGTGGGTTCGATCCCCGGGACCACCCATACACAAAAAAAAAAAAAAAAAAAAAATGTATGCACGCATGACTGTAAGTCGCTTTGGATAAAAGCGTCTGCTAAATGGCATATTATTATTATTATTATTATTATTATTATTATTATTATTATTATCTTGCTCATCGTTCCCTTATGCCATAGTTTGTCCATCTCAATTGTCAGTAGAAACCACATTTGTTTAAGGAAGTCAGCCATATCAGCTATGATTTTTAAAAAGGCAGTAAATGAGGCTGAATTAACTGTTTTGCTCCCAGACAAGGCTCCGCTGATAGCCAGGTGTAGTGGTGGTAAGGATTCACTCCACTTTGAAAAGAAGGTTGACGACATCCGATCCTCGTTTGTTAAGTCTAATGACACTGCTGGTCCTGCTCACACTGCCCTACCCTATGCTTTGACTTCTTTCTCCCCTCTCTCTCCAGATAAAATCTTGCGACTAGTGACTGCAGGCCGCCCAACAACCTGCCCGCTTGACCCCATCCCCTCCTCTCTTCTCCAGACCATCTCCGGTGACCTTCTCCCCTACCTCACCTCGCTGATCAACTCATCCTTGACCGCTGGCTATGTCCATTCCGTCTTCAAGAGAGCGAGAGTTGCACCCCTTCTCAAAAAACCAACACTCGATCCCACTGATGTCAACAACTACAGACCAGTATCCCTTCTTTCTTTTCTTTCCAAAACTATTGAGCGTGCCGTCTTTAGCCAACTCTCTTGCTATCTCTCTCAGAATGACCTTCTTGATCCAAACCAGTCAGGTTTCAGGACTGGTCATTCAACTGAGACTGCTCTTCTCTGTGTCACGGAGGCTCTCCGCACTGCTAAAGCTAACTCTCTCTCCTCTGCTCTTGTCCTTCTAGACCTGTCTGCTGCCTTTGATACTGTGAACCATCAGATCCTCCTCTCCACCCTCTCCGAGCTGGGCATCTCCGGCGCGGCTCACTCCTGGATTGCGTCCTACCTGACCGGTCGCTCCTACCAAGTGGCGTGGCGAGAAGCTGTCTCCGCACCACGTGCTCTCACCACTGGTGTCCCCCAGGGCTCAGTTCTAGGCCCTCTCCTTTTCTCCCTATACACCAAGTCACTTGGCTCTGTCATATTCTCACATGGCCTCTCCTATCATTGCTACGCTGACGATACACAACTAATCTTCTCCTTTCCCCCTTCTGATAACCAGGTGGCGAATCGCATCTCTGCATGTCTGGCAGACATATCAGTATGGATGACGGATCACCACCTCAAGCTGAACCCTGGCAAGACGGAGCTGCTCTTCCTCCTGGGGAAGGACTGCCCGTTCCATGATCTCGCCATCACGGTTGACAACTCCGTTGTGTCCTCCTCCCAGAGTGCGAAGAGCCTTGGCGTGACCCTGGACAACACCCTGTCGTTCTCCGCTAACATCAAGGCAGTGACCCGGTCCTGCAGGTTCATGCTCTACAACATTCGGAGAGTACGACCCTGCCTTACACAGGAAGCGGCACAGGTCCTAATCCAGGCACTTGTCATCTCCCGTCTGGATTACTGCAACTCGCTGTTGGCTGGGCTCCCTGCCCGTGCCATTAAACCCCTACAACTCATCCAGAATGCCGCAGCCCGTCTGGTGTTCAACCTTCCCAAGTTCTCTCACGTCACCCCCCTCCTCCGCACACTCCACTGGCTTCCAGTTGAAGCTCGCATCCGTTACAAGACCATGGTGCTTGCCTATGGAGCAGTGAGGGGAACGGCACCTCCGTACCTTCAGGCTCTGATCAGTCCCTACACCCAAATGAGGGCATTGCGTTCATCCACCTCTGGCCTGCTGGCTCCCCTTCCTCTGCGGAAGCATAGTTCCCGCTCAGCCCAGTCAAAACTGTTCGCTGCTCTGGCACCCCAATGGTGGAACAAGCTCCCTCACGACGCCAGGACAGGACATCCTTTTGTAGCAGAATAACATTTGGGGAAATCGGGTCTCTTTATTTTCATTATTATTATTATTATTATTATTATTATTATTATTATTATTATTATTATTATTATCATCATCATTAAATAACCTACCTAAGATGTCATGAGACTTGTAAACTACATAGAATTGCAGGAAATTAGCTTCAAAACAACATTTTCCTAAATCCTTCAAATTAAACAAAATCGAGCTGGTGTTGTATTTAATATAGGCTATCTCAATAAACAATAATAATAATAAAAAGGGGGGGGGGGGGCGAAATGAGGTAAGGGATCGAGGAAAGGAGGAAAATAAATGGAGCTAGGCAAGGAGGAAAGGAAAGGGAGCAAGGAAATAATTTAGGAAAGAAAAGGAGGAGTTCACATGTATGTGGTAGGGATTAATCACGGCCAGTAGAGAGGAAAGGATCGGAAATAAAGGAGGAAAGGGAGCTAGGAAATGATTAAATTTAACGGGAGCGAGGAAATGAGGAAGGAACTAGGAAAGAAAATGAGTTCGCATGTATGTGGTAGGGATTAACCACGGTCAGTAGATGGCGATAGTATTTGGCTTTAGTGACAGATTCATTTTAGTGACAGGCTGCAGCTGGATACTATTGTTGAAACTTTTGCTGAAACTCTGGAACTGATGGGAACTGTTCCAGCAGACGATGCCTCCCCAAACCCTCAGACAGCTTCCACCACCTCTCCACACACATCTGGGCCAAGTTCATTAGCCAAACGTTGTCGAACGTTGCAGATAGGAAATGCCATCAGTAGAGCCGACATGATTCGTTATTCTCCATGTCCGAACGCATGTTTGTAATAGATAGCCTAACATTATTTCTAACAGTTCCAAAACGTTGTGTCCTGCTGAACCCGCAATTCCAGTTCCAGACGTAACCTACTATAAATGCCCAAATTTGGCGTGGAGTTTGTGAGAAAGTGAGGGGATTCGATTAATCTGGTCCGGGCGCCTGAATAGGTGTATTTTGCACCGAGTGAAAGTTGATTGCATTTGTTTAGGAACCGGGCTGCCACCCGGGCGTGAGCCAGGTGCCCCGTTCAAAGCCCACGATTAAGTCGGCTCAAAACAAAAGTGACGTAATCAAGCACGTGGAGTAATGAGTATGATTCTGTGTTTTCACATGCAAAGGTGATTGCGTTTGATAAACCCTTTATTTGCCTTCCCAATGAAAACTAGTTTGAAAATTCAAATATATATTTTATGGGACAGATATGTGTATCTTTCTGGACTATGCACCATGCTGCCTTGCTGACTGTTCGATTTGAGAAGGGCGCTAGACCGGCCATAGCCCGGTGCCCCGCGTTCAGCATAATCGAATCCGCCCAGTTCTTCTCTGAGCTACAGGTAACTGCCAAAATAAAGGAAACATCAACATAAAGCGTCATAATTGGGCATTGGGCCACCACGAGCCAGACAGCTTCAATGCACCTTGGCATAGATTCTACAAGTGTCTGGAACTCTATTGCCTAATTTATTCAAGTGTTTCCATTATTTTGGCAGTTACTGGTAGGCGTAGTGGTTGCGAGCGTAAAAGTGCGCGCCCCGGCTCCAAAACGGTAACAGGAAGGAAGAAGACCATGCGAGATCAGAGGTAAGAATAACTGTTCATCTTCATTATAATGCTATTTCTATTCAAGTGAAGTCTAGACGAGAAAGAAGGTTCAGAAAGTACCGTTACTTTCTATTTTTAGTCCAATGAGAATGCCTCAGATACCATAGCATTAATCTACTTGGGTGCGGTCTGTCTGGCCACAGCCCTGTTGCTTGTGCACTCACTCACTCAATCCCTCAATCACTATCACTCACTCACTCACTCATTCACTCACTCATTCACTCACTCACTATTGATGATCTGTATGTGTTGGGGATACCATCAACAAGTCTGGTCATGCTTTGATGAACTTGAGATAAAGATAATTCCTATTATAAATATTTTCTCCCCATGTGTTTTAGTTTGAACATCCTGCCAATATTAGAATAATTTAATCTAAATTCTAAATAAAACATTCATGGGGAATTTCTCTCTGGCATAGAAGTAAACAATAAAAGCAGCACTCTCCTGCTAAGAATATTGCAAAACGTCCTTTTCAAGAGAGAGAGAGAGACTCGAGCTTGTACCACACCTATTATTACATCCACCACATCCTCCTAACCCCCATTTCACCTCCGTTTGGTTTAGTTTTGTTCCCCCAACCTCTAGATATGAGTAACTAGGCCCCCATCTAATAGAGAAATTGAATATGGTATTGACACTATGGGCCAGTTTCCCAGACACAGATTCATCCTAGTCCTGGACTCGTCTAGGAGTAGCATTGGTCAAATCTGGGTCCAGTAAACAAGCCCAAGGTTTGTTTAACCCAGTTTTATATCACAAACTTGTCATTTCCATGTGGACTAGGTCTACGGTACAGTAGGCTAGCAGTATCTGGGCCCCTGTAGATCTGAGACATAGACATTAGTTCAGCTTCCTGTAAATCCCCCTCGGCCAGAGAGGAAGGGAGGCTCTTTAAAGCTCTCATCTGGCTAATAGACTCAGTAAAGAGGCACTTAAAGTAACACAGCCTTCAGGAAGCCAGGTTTAGAGCTAGACACACTGAAGAGGAAGTCAATGTGTTACTGACAAGCATATGATGAGGATGACTGTGAAGTTTCAGTTTACCTTGCATTCAGAGTCGACGGCCGCGTCCATAGGGCTCTGGTCAAAAGTAGTGCACTATGTAGAGAATAGGGTGCCATTTGGGACACATCATGTCTGAAGTCTTAGGAACTTAGCTTTGGCCCAAAGAAAAGGGATGGTGCTGTGTGACTGACAGTGAACACCAATGCCAATAGAGGGCGTCGAAGTCAAGGAAGAAATGCCTTAGTCTGAATTCAAGGACTTTTTATTTCCTCATTACTGTGTGCATACTCCCTAGCCTAGTACAAGTCACAGCTAGAATAGCTTTTTCTCTTTCACTGTCATCTCTCTTAGTGTGAGGATAAGTGGGTCACACTTTATTTGGATAGTCCGGATAATCCATCTGTAGATGCTCTACAGATGGTCATACTGTACTATAATAATAATATGCCATTTAGCAGACGCTTTTATCCAAAGCGACTTACAGTCATGTGTGCATACATTTTTACGTATGGGTGGTCCCGGGAATCGAACCCACTACCCTGGTGTTACAAGCGCCATGCTCTACCAATTGAGCTACAGAGGACCACACTATCAACAGCATCTGTTGATAAGCAACTGCTTGCTGCTAAGGTTAGTTTTAGAGAAGGGTTATTTTTATTTATTTCACCTTTATTTTATTTAACCAGGTAAGCCAGGTTAGGGTAACCAGGTTAGGCTAAGGGTTGAGGTTAGGGCTAGGGTTAGTAGATAGTTAGTTAAAATCTTTCTGATAGACTATAGATAGTCGATCTGTAGATGCTCTACAGACTATCCAAATAAAGTGTTACCGATAAGTGTAGCCTACTGTAGGAGTAGAACATGTGACCAGGAGGGGGGATGTGGTACTCAATTAGTAGGCCTAACAACCATAAGGAGCTGGGTTGAACTCATTTGTGCACACCGTGTCAAAATTCATTTGTGCACACCGTAGCAAAATATTTTGCAGCATAGCGAAAGGTTTTGCACTGGTCAGGGGTATATTCATTCCGTCGATGCAAAACGTTTCTTAAACGGAAGCAAACGGAATGAAACGGGGAGGGACTTACCTACATTTGTCTAATAGAATCTATATATACAGTGGGGGGAAAAAGTATTTAGTCAGCCACCAATTGTGCAAGTTCTCCCACTTAAAAAGATGAGAGAGGCCTGTAATTTTCATCATAGGTACACGTCAACTATGACAGACAAATTGAGAAGAAAAAAATCCAGAAAATCACATTGCAGGATTTTTAATGAATTTATTTGCAAATTATGGTGGAAAATAAGTATTTGGTCACCTACAAACAAGCAAGATTTCTGGCTCTCACAGACCTGTATCTTCTTCTTTAAGAGGCTCCTCTGTCCTCCACTCATTACCTGTATTAACGGCACCTGTTTGAACTTGTTATCAGTATAAAAGACACCTGTCCACAACCTCAAACAGTCACACTCCAAACTCCACTATGGCCAAGACCAAAGAGCTTTCAAAGGACACCAGAAACAAAATTGTAGACCTGCACCAGGCTGGGAAGACTGAATCTGCAATAGGTAAGCAGTTTGGTTTGAAGAAATCAAATGTGGGAGCAATTATTAGGAAATGGAAGACATACAAGACCACTGATAATCTCCCTCGATCTGGGGCTCCACGCAAGATCTCACCCCGTGGGGTCAAAATGATCACAAGAACGGTGAGCAAAAATCCCAGAACCACACGGGGGGACCTAGTGAATGACCTGCAGAGAGCTGGGACCAAAGTAACAAAGCCTACCATCAGTAACACACTACGCCGCCAGGGACTCAAATCCTGCATTGCAGACGTGTCCCCCTGCTTAAGCCAGTACATGTCCAGGCCCGTCTGAAGTTTGCTAGAGTGCATTTGGATGATCCAGAAGAGGATTGGGAGAATGTCATATGGTCAGATCAAACCAAAATATAACTTTTTGGTAAAAACTCAACTTGTCGTGTTTGGAGGACAAAGAATGCTGAGTTGCATCCAAAGAACACCATACCTACTGTGAAGCATGGGGGTGGAAAAATCATGCTTTGGGGCTGTTTTTCTGCAAAGGGACCAGGACGACTGATCTGTGTAAAGGAAAGAATGAATGGGGCCATGTATCGTGAGATTTTGAGTGAAAACCTCCTTCCATCAGCAAGGGCATTGAAGATGAAACGTGGCTGGGTCTTTCAGCATGACAATGATCCCAAACACACCGAAGGAGTGGCTTCGTAAGAAGCATTTCAAGGTCCTGGAGTGGCCTAGCCAGTCTCCAGATCTCAACCCCATAGAAAATCTTTGGAGGGAGTTGAAAGTCAGTGTTGCCCAGCGACAGCCCCAAAACATCACTGCTCTAGAGGAGATCTGCATGGAGGAATGGACCAAAATACCAGCAACAGTGTGTGAAAACCTTGTGAAGACTTACAGAAAACATTTGACCTGTGTCATTGCCAACAAAGGGTATATAACAAAGTATTGAGAAACGTTTGTTATTGACCAAATACTTATTTTCCACCATAATTTGCAAATAAATTCATAAAAAATCCTACAATGTGATTTTCTGGATTTTTTTTCCTCATTTAGTCTGTTATAGTTGACGTGTACCTATGATGAAAATGACAGGCCTCTCTCATCTTTTTAAGTGGGAGAACTTGCACAATTGGTGGCTGACTAAATACTTTTTTTCCCCACTGTATGTATATATATATATATATATATATATTAAAACATACAATCTACCTGCAGTGAAGCCGCTCAACATGTACATTACATTCAGTCATCTAGCAGACACTCCCATCCAGAGTGACCCACAGGAGCAACCAGGGTCAAGCGCCCTGCCCAAGGGCACGTCGACAGATCTCCCACCAAGTCAAGTTGGGGACCCAAACCAGCGACCTATCGGCCATCGGCCCAAGCTCCCAACCGCCAGGCTCTGCAATGCTTGTTTGAAAAAGAGAGATACTTTGAACAAGGTTTCATTTTCAATTAATCGAAAATGAGACATGGCAATCTGCACAAAGGCGATTTTTAAACATAGGATGAGCTTTTCTTAGTAATCTACTTGAGGACCATTTTGGGTTCAAGTAAAACTTTTGGATAAGTGAAGCTTTTAGAGAGAGGTGTAGTGCTTTTAGATGTAATAATCTCAGCCTTTCCATGGCTGCAGGAGCTTGTCTATTTTTACTAGTTTTCTATTGAAATTCATTGTGGAGAGCTCATTTATATATTTTGTGATATGAATACCAAGTATGTCTACTTCACCGTCAGCCATTTTATAGGTAAACTGCAGGGTAATGTAAAAGTTGTGTTTTTAAAGATCCAATACTTAATATGGTACACGTAAAGTGCAACATGTAAAGTGTTGGTCCCATGTTACACAAAAAATGTATGCACGCACGACTGTAAGTCGCTTTGGATAAAAGCGTCTGCTAAATGGCATATTATTATTATTATTATTATGTTTCATGACCTGAAATAAAAGATCCCTGAAATGTCCCATACATAAAAAAAGCTTATTTCTCTCAATTTCATTTTACATTTACATTTTAGTCATTTAGCAGACGCTCTTATCCAGAGCGACTTACAGTTAGTGAGTTAGCAATTTCTTTGCACAAATTTGTTCACATCCCTGTTAGTGAGCATTTCTCCTTTGCAAAGATAATCCATCCAACTGACAGGTGTGGCATATCAAGAAAATGATTAAACAGCATGATCATTACACAGGTGCACCTTGTGCTGGGGACAATAAAAGGCCACTCTAAAATGTGCAGTTTTGTCACACAACACAATGCCACAGATGTCTCAAGTTCTGAGGGAGCGTGCAATTGGCATGCTGACTGCAGGAATGTCCACCAGAGCTGTTGCCAGATAATTTAATGTTAATTTCTCTACCATAAGTCGTTTTAGAGAATTTGGCAGTACGTCCAACCGGCCTCACAACCGCAGAACACGTGTAACCACGCACCCCAGGACCTCCACATCTGGCGTCTTCACCTGCGGGATCGTCTGAGGGGGGAGGGGGTGCTAAGGAGTATTTTCTGTCTGTAATAAAGCCCTTTTGTGGGGATAAACTCATTCTGATTGGCTGAGCCTTGCTCCCCAGCGGGTGGGCCTGGCTCCTAAGTGGGTAGGCCTATGCCCTTCCAGGCCCACCCATGGCTGCACCCCTTCCCATTCATGTGAAATCCATAGATTAGGGCCTAAGGAATTTATTCCATTGACTGATTTCCTTATATGAATTGTAACTCAGTAAAATCT